TTGAAAATTGGTTGTGCAGATCGAAGTTTTTGTTACTCATAGCGAAAAGAATCAACTGTGGTCCTTGACAATTGTAATTAACTATACAGGAGTACATGTTGAGGGCAGAGTTTAGACTTCCAAGTATAACTGCTGAAGAAGCAGTTCCTGAGAGAAAGGCTCCTATCCGTGTGAAGTTTGAAATACCATATTTTACTGTCTCAGGGATACAGGTATGGCTCTCTCTGTTGCTAGCTCCTCTATACGTTCTTTAAAATTCATTGATACTTCTGCATTTCTGCTGATGTAACAGATCATGACTCCTTTTTTCTTTCTAATATATTTGACCTGATTGTTGTTTAAGGTCTAGCCTATTCCAGATACTATTTCTTGGGAAAAAAGGAACAGTTGATATTGGGTCCACATTTTCCACAAATCTGGATTTGTCTTTATGCAAAAGCATGACATGCATGGCAATCTTTTGTTTTTCCAAGTTCTTTTACTGTTGGGCTATGTGCATGGTGTGGTTTGGGTTTCTTTTTCCTTTTTACTCTTGGAAAAGAAAAAAGGAATAACTTTAATGAGGACCAACGGGGTGCCACTTAGAAACAAAAAAGTACAAAGTGTATAAATCTTAAACTAGTCAAGATGTCAACGAAGTTCCTTAATTCTTCTGATCAACTACTGTTTAGTTGAATGGTTGATGTATTTTTTTATTTATAAAAAATTGTGAATTCGAATTGATAGTGTTTCTGTATATGTCATTATTTTTTTTTAAAAAAGAAAAAGAATTCCCTAATTCTTCTGCTGAATTGAGCCGTTGACTCTTGAACAAATGAAAGAAAAACAAGTGCAGTAAGGCTCTTATTCTTTTTTCATTCCAAATGATGCACAAAGTAGCCAAAGGGATAAATGAAATAAGCTTCTTATTCCTCTTTTCCCACGGGTACCTTGCCAAGGCCACAACTCGTCAACACGAAAGTCAGCCAGCTCATTGGACTTTGAGAAAGTCCAAAACTGGAGACGAGACTAAGAGAAAGGACATCATAACAAATGATGATCTGAGGTCTTAGCATCATTGTTGCAAGTAACAACCATTCACCGTGATTTTGCCTTTCTTGATAAGGTAGTAAATACTCAGGATCTGCCAACAGGAAGCTTTGTGGGAAAAAAGAGCTTTTCAAATCATTTTTCCCGAGTCTACTTCCAAGAGAACAAAGAAGTTCCAGTGGAGGGATGGGTTATGTGAAGATAAAACCATTTTATTGAAACAGTCCCTTTAGAAGAAAATCTCAGGTAGGCATATCCTAACTTTAACTTACAGACCTGTGTGGATTCAAGTCTCTGGAGCAGCTGAATGTACTCTCCCCCTTTTCATTCACTTAAATTCCTATCAACCTCCATCTCCTACACTGTTTAGCCATTAAATACTGGAAAATAGTCTTCCAGTAGAGCATGTTTCCTTCTTGCCAAGGAAAACAAAGACAGAATTGGTTATAAAAAGAGGAATATCCACATCAGATTTCTTCCCAGAAACAATGCAATGAAAAATTATCTTAGTTGGTAAGTTAAATACAGGTCTTTGAATTTTGGATATATTTACAGCTAGATTTGCAGTAAGAGTCTAACCGAACAAAGAGTGTGTACAGGAAGTTTGGTTCCACAGTTGGTTGATTTGGGTAAAACTGAAATCATGAGTGGCTTTAACGATGGAGGATAAGGTTCTGTTTCAGATTCCTTGATTTTTTCT